CAACAATTAGTCATGATCAATTATCAATTATTCAACAAAAAGAATCTGTTATCGAGGATTTAAATAAAAAATATCAACAAATATCACAAGAACTTGATGAAAATAATAAAAAACATAGTGAAGAAATAGTGTAGGGGAAAAACGTTTTCTTTTTCTTCTCCTTTAAAATCACATTATTATTTTTTTTTTGTTATCTTATAGACAAAATGAACGTATGATTACTGATCAACAAAAATTAATTCAAAATCTTCAACGTGAATTAATGCGCCTTCAAAAACGTTTATCAAAAGTTGAAACTGAAGGCGTTGTACAACCAAGTATTATGTTTACTCGTCTTGATGCCGAACGTAATGAAAACGTACTTAAACAAGCTGTTGATAAAGGAAAACTATCCGAAACTACAATGAGTGTAAGTTTAGTGATTTTATAACAATTACTAATGACGAAACGTCTCCAAGTGTGACTCAATAATCGAACTTATATTTTGCTTATAAGTAGGTACCGACAAGACTAGTAGAAACCTATTTAGATATTTAATAGTTCAAGCAAAATATACCTTCTTAGGCTGAAATTTTCTAGGCATTCTCTAAGGTTTACGAGATCTACTTATGAACGAAACTTCAGATTGAAATATCGTACTTCAATTTGTTTCACTAGTACCTTGCTAGAGATTAAAAAAATTCAGTAAAATGATATAATAGTTTGGAACGGATAGCATATGGAGACGAACTTTTATAAGCGTCTACTAGTCTCATCATGGTCTACTTATACGCAAAATATTAGTTCTATTGACGATCACACTTATACCTCTTCTCTCGTAAGTAAATATCATGCCATATATATATATATATATACAGTAGTCGCCATAAGTGGGCGCGATTGAAAAAACGAGGAAGACAAAGGAGTTATTTGGTCATATTTTATTTATGAAACTTACATTATATGTGCATCATCCTCATAATTAATATAATGGCTTTTTCTTTGAATTAACAATGCTACTCTATTTTCCATAGAATCGCCTAATTTTTCAACAAATTCAATAGCTAAGTTTCTCCATTCTTTTTTTTATTCTCTCAATGAAATTATTGATCGATATATACGGTTCTTTTTTTATTCTGAGCTCCACTAATGCCTAGACATCTTCAGTTGGGTTAAAGTCTTTCAGTTTTATATCCTGCTGGGGTCTTTTTTAGAACATCGTCACTTGTTAGCAATGGTTTCGAGATCGGTCTCATTGAATGTACATCGGTCTCTTTAAATCTTCTTCTTAATATGGTTTTACTAATTTTTATATCTTTTTGTGATAATCTAAACGCAATTTGACCGACAGATTCTATTGAATGTTGAGCTACCATGGATTGAATTGTTGTGTATTGTTTTTCCTGTATAGACCGGGTTTTTGTACAATTTATACGTCACCAGCTATTTCATACCTTCTAAGCCTACATTTTACAATTACTTACTGATTCGTATAGATACTGTGGAATATTACC